TTAGCCCCATTAGGGCAAAGAAGCTGAATAAAGAGCATAGCTTTTGAACATGTAGATATTCAATTAACCACAATAGCACCAAGGTTTCTTGTTATGCTCTTTAAGTTAACAACACTCCTTTATAAAGAACTGTTTCACAATAGTCTGTATAATTTACTCAAAGAAAGATCAGGTAGGGTATGTTACAATGATTGGAGCTTTGGCTATGCTTTGCTTCAATTCTCCCCCAATGATACTTAACCAGAAATTTGCACAATGGTGATTCTCTTTCTATGAATTCAAATTCATACAGCCTTGTTAGGAAATTTTCACTAAGTTGTCTTTCCACTTTTGTCTACAATGAGCTGTATATTTATGTGTGGTTCTATTTCTAAACTCCCTCTTCTAGCACAATGGTTGATTTTTCTATCCATACACCAGTATTTCATTGTTTTGATTACTATAACTTTGTAATAATTATTAGAAAAAACGTAATGTTAACCTTGAAAATTTATTCTTTTTCAGAGGTGTTTTGGCTATTGTAGGTCTTTGCATTTCCATATGAATTTTATAATGAGTTCGACAGTTTATAGTTAAAAAAATCTATTGACATTTTGATTGGGATTGCATCAATTTAAAGATCAATTTAGGTAGGATTATTATTTTTTAAAATGCTGAGTCTCCTGACCCATGAACATGGTATATGTCTCCACCTGTTTAGATCTTTAATTTCTGTCAGTAAAGTTTTTAGTTTTCAGTGTTTCACACCTTTTATCAGATGTATCCCTAAGCATTTTATATTTTGAATGCTACTGTGAAAAGGTTTACTACATTTATTCTTGATTGTCGCGTTTTATTTCACTTTATAGAAATACAATTGAATTTTATATTGATCTTATATCTTGCAGTCTTGCAAAAATCACTTCTTAGTTCTAGCAGCATTTTTTTCTATTTTCTTAGGATTTTACAAATAAATGATGGTTGTGTCAACTGCAAATGAGAGTGTTATACCATTCTTTCCAATTTGAATGTCTAACTAATTTCTCTTGCCTGATTGCATTAGACAGAATTTCCAGTATATTGTTGAATTTAAGTGGTGAGAGTGGATATCCTTGTATTGTTTCTGATCTTAGGAAGAAAGCTTTTAGTCATTCACTATTAAATGTGCTGTTTGTTCTATTTTAAAAATATATAGGTTATGCAGGTTGAGGAAGTTCTTTCTATTCTTAGTTTGCTGGGAGTTTTTTTTTTTTAATCAGAAATAGATGAGGGATATTTGTAGTTTGTTTTTTAATGTGATATTAGTCTTATTTTGTTATCAGGGTAATGTTAGTGTATAGAAAGAACTAGTAAATATTCCATGATTTAAGAAATTTACTGTAGGAGGTTGTGTATAATTGGTACTATTTTTCCCTTAAACACCTGGTAAAATTCACTAATGCGGACATCTGATTCTTGAATTTTCTTTGTCAGAATGTTTTAAGCTATGTCAATTTTTTGGATAAATAAAGGGCTTCAGTTTATTTCTTTTTGAGCAACTGTGTTTTTTAAATAAATTGGTCTGTTTTACATAAGTCCTTTAATTCAATATCATAAAGTTATCTATAATATTTCTCTTTTATTTTCTGTATAATCTGTAGTGCTTTCACATTCATTCCTTATATTTTTATTAGTTTAGAGATCAGTTTTATTGATCTTTTCAAAGAACCAACTTTTTGCTGCATTTTATTTTAAATTACTTTTCTATGTTCTGTTGCATTGCTTTCCCTTCATTTTTAAATTATTTTCCTTTTTCTACTTATTTCGGTTTAATTTAATGCTCCACTTCTAGATTCCCAAGTTGAAAACTGAGGTCATTGATTTGAGATTTCTTATTACTAATATAGGTGTTTATTGATATAAATGTCTCCCTAAAGTAAGGCTTTAACTTCATCCCACAAATTTTGATATGTTGCATTTTCATTTCTACTCAATTTAAATACTCTTTTCCTTTATATTTCTCCTTTTAATATGGGTTATTTTAAAATGTGTTATTCATTCCTACACATTTTAGGGCTTTTCTTGATTTTTTTTCCTTTTATTGGTTTCTGATTCAATTTCATTGTGGTCAAAAAGGATACTTTGTACAACTTGAATCTTTTTATTCAGCCGTGCTTTCATGGTCCAGAATATGATTGATTGGTAAATGTTTCATATGCACTTCAAAAAGACAAGCATTCTGCAGTTGTTGAGTTGAATGGTGTATATATTTCATTGGGTCTATCTGTTGACAGTGTAGTTCAAATTGTCTATCTTTACTGGTTTACTGCCTATACTATCAATTATTGAAAGAAGATGTTGAAATCTGACTATAATTGTGGATATATTTATTTCTTTTTACAGTTGTTTTTGCTTCTTGAATTTTGAGACACTGTTATTAGGTGCATACATATTTAGAATAATAGTATCTTCATTGATGTCTTATTTTCATGAAGTAAATATTATTCTTAGTAATAGCATTTGCTCTGAAATCTATTTTGTCTTATGGTAATATAGAGCTACTTCAGTGTTAGGGTAAAACAAACTTTTTTTCATTTAACTTTAGATTTTCCATTGCTAATATATTAGAAGCACAATGATCTTGTATTAGACATGCCTGCATTAAAGTCATAAATTATTAAAGTTTAAATAATCTTAGAAATTATTTAAGGCAACTGTCTCATTTTGCAACTGAGTAACCAAGACCAAAAAGAGAGAGTTATTTTTCAACACCACAAATCTGGTCATTAGAAGTGCCCTTACCTTCTGTCAGATACACTGCTTATTAATCCATTTCTCTCAATTTCCTGGCCAATAATCTTTTCTCAAAGCACTGTCACCAGTTAGGCAAATCATCCAAAGTCCAAGATGGGATACTTACTATGAAAATAGTTATATTTTTAATACCAATCTAATTTTGGTTCACCAACAATTTTGGATACCTTTTTCCTATATTTGCTAGAATGTATAAAAAGTCTGTGGTTTTAGAGTTCATTTAAGGCAAGGAAGTTCTTCCAAAATATAATAAAATTCTCATTTAGCATTTGAAATATTCCTAAATATTAATTTTTAAAAATGTTATTAATAAAATTAATATATGTTGGGAACCTAGGCATTAGGAGCAGTAAAATATATATCTCATTATATGCATTATGATTTAGGTATGTTATCTCATTTAATCCTCAAGTAATCATATGATTATTCTCATTTTACAAATGAGAAAATTGAGGATGAGTTAGATAAAGTAACTGACCTTTGTTTTGAGAACAACGGTTTTTGACTGCAAAACCACCAAGACAATGTTTTCCAGACCTCAGTTTATTTTGCCGTATACAGATTATTGGCATCCCTCTTCATTTAAATTGACAAATATTTAACGTAAATACATTTACTTAAAAACTATTTTTACTTCCTTGGATGAAAACTAGTATCACTTTTCATAATTATAATTTTAAACATCAAATAAAAACAGAAAAATACTGCTAAATTCTAGGTAAACATTTTACTTTCTGTTCTTTGTTATTACTAAGACAACAAAGAAAAACACAATTAAAAGGTTTTTTTTAAATTTAAAAGACATACTTGCATTAAGCTGAGCATTCCCATTATGTAACTAGAAGTTCCTAAAAAGAATAGAAAAGATAACTGCTTTCTCACTAAATAATTCATTGTATTTTAATGATCCATGTAGAACTAATAACTCATCTCTCATAGGATGGATGTAAGTCCACAGGACATCACTTAGGCAGGAGTATCTTGAGCAAAGATAAAGAGTTGTGAGAGTTTGGGTATCATAGAAATCCCAGAGGTTAGGAATTCCTTGAGTGCTAATTCTGAACATTGTATGTAATTATCACCTTCAGAGTTTAAGACACAGACAAAAAGAATCAGAACTCATTATGTAGATAGGAGTGCCTCACTCTTTTAAAAGTTCCCTAGGTAGTTCCAGTTCTTAGGAAGGGTGGAAAACCTCTCCAATAGGATGCTTGCATGAGAGGATGGTAGTGGTGGTGATAGTGTTGAGTAGGCTGGCAGGAGAAAGGCCAGATAGATCAGCAATATCTGCTCTGAATGTGAACAGGTGGAATGGTAAAAATATCATTATTACTTGCTATCTTAGGACTAGAAAATGAATAACCCGTCCACGGTGGTTGGATACCATCTTGAAGAGCTGGCAGAGTGCTAACACTACCTTCCATTAATAATAAACATTCATGAATTTTCTACCGCAGATGCTCTTTTGATTTAAACACCTTATGATCTTTTGTTATAAAGGCATTAAATTCATATGTGAAGAATGCATTTGTGACAGCATATTAAATAATGATCTAAACGACTTTTCCCAATACTTTACAATTGACATAAGTATTTTTGAAACAGCTTTAACACAATTGCTGCCTATAAATAGTTGCAGACATTTATAACTTTATTTAAAGCAGCAGCATTTTAAAATAAAATACACACAATCCATATTTGCATGTGTCAATAAATAGAATGCATGAAAAGAATCTGAATGTGAATCAGTTCCCTTCATTATTTATCCATTGTTTTGATGCTGTCCGAAGACTCTTTTAGAATAAGGCATCTTTCTGGTGGGTAACAAATTTGTAGTCTATCAGGCTGTGCTAGCACTAGCATTGGCAAAGCTGCTGCAGTCATGAAGACTTCATCTGGGAACCTGAAAGGAGAAGTCAAAATCCAAAGTTTCAAACTTTCTTAGGAGAAGCATGGAAGTGGGAAAAGGAAAAATTCAAACTCTGCTTAATTTTAAAAGGGCAGTAAAAGCGGACGCCGCAAAGACCAGTTTACAAAAGTAGATGTCGAAAACTCCTGGCGAAGCAAGAAAGAGAAACGGGCGTTTTGGGGGGAGGAGACATTGGTAGCCCATCGGACGGTTTCGTCGCCGCCTCTCTTCCCAGAAGGTTCCCACTCTCCGCCCCGGACCCTCCCCCGCTTCCGCGCTTGGCCCGGAGCCCGGGTGGGCGGGGTAGCCTCTCCTGCCTCTCCTTCTTGACTGGAGGCACAGGGGCATTAATTAACTTAGCGGCCCGGGACTGTGCCAGGCTCACGGGACGCCTGCACCTCTCAGCGTCTCCAGCTCCGGGACGCTGTCGTCCCGACTCCGAGCGGAAAGAGAGTCAAACTTTCGTCCGTGGGCGGGTGGGGCTCAGCAGGACCCCAGCGCCTCCTGTCCGGCTCCCCCAGCCTCACCGCGGGGTGCTGCGCTCAGAGCACTTTCCAGTTGCGACTCCCGGCCAGAAACTTCTCGGGAATGGAGCGGTCACAGTGTGGCAGCAGAGACCGCGGCGGTAGCGGCCGACCCCACCTGGCCCCGGGGCTGGTGGTGGCCTCTCCTCCGCCCCCATCCCCGGCCTTGCCGGTACCGTCGGCGCTGCAGGTTCCCCCAGCGTTCCTGCGGCCGCCCAGCCTCTTTCTGCGAGCTGCGGCGGCCGCCGCCGCCGCCGCCGCCACCTCGGGAAGCCGAGGCTGCCCGCCCGCCCCGGGGCTGGAGAGGGGGGTGGGCGCGGTGGGCGCGGTGGGCTGCGGCTACCCGCGGACGCCCAAGTGCGCCCGCTGTCGCAACCACGGCGTGGTGTCGGCGCTCAAGGGCCATAAGCGCTTCTGCCGCTGGCGCGAGTGCGCCTGTGCCAAGTGCACCCTAATCGCCGAGCGCCAGCGAGTCATGGCCGCCCAGGTGGCGCTGCGCAGGCAGCAGGCGCAGGAGGAGAGCGAAGCCCGGGGGCTGCAGAGGCTCCTGTGCTCGGGGCTCTCCGGGCCCCCCGGGGGTCGGGCCTCCGGGGGCGGCGGCAGAGCCGAGAATCCCCAGGCCACTGGCGGCCCTACGGCGGGGGCTGCGCTGGGACTCGGTGCCTTGAGACAGACCAGTGGTTCCGCGACCCCCGCTTTCGAGGTTTTCCAGCAAGGTTATCATGAGGAAAAACAAGGTGAGTTTGGTCTTTCATTGACTCTTTGCTCAAGGAAATGGTTGTTCTGTAAAGAAACGTTGAAAGGAGCAGCGTGCCCTTAGGCGGGCAGGAATAGTTGTTTAAAGGAAGCACTTTTAAGTCCTGGGGAACTGCTCTGCAATATGGACGTTAATGAGAGTGTGAGAGACCCATCGCCTTCATTTTGGGGGCGTTTACTTTTCATTCCCTTAGGTGATAAGATAATGAAAAAGTGAAACCTGGGTGATAACAAACGAGCAATTCATCCCAGCGGTAGATCTACTTGCTCGAAAGTTGATTTGACTTTCACTGTGTGAGTAGAACTTCAAGCAGGCATTGAGCGAAAGCTTAGTGAGAGGTGCTGTGGTTGAGTCTCCTCTGTACTCTTTCGAGACAGGGTCTCTCTGTTGCCCAGGCTGGAGTGCAGTGGCGCGATCACGGCTCACTGCAGCCTCAACCTCCCCAGGCTCAGGTGATCGATCCTCCCTGCTCTGGACTATTTTCAGCTGTAAAACCAGAGCTGATTTTGCGTGGGAAACTCTGATAGTTGAGGATGCAGTTCTTTCCTACATGTTGGGGCAAACATTTGTTGCAAGCTTGATGTGGGGAAGATACTGAAATCTATCACACCGTCGTCTTTCTTTCTTCCTTCACTCCATTTGTAAAACCATAAGAATTTCAAAGTTTAATATTAGAGGGTTTTTGTCTCAGGAGTTTTCTTTTTTTCTCTCTCTCTTATTTATTAACTGCAAGTCAGTTGCCTTCATTTCCTGTGTTAGGAGATATGTTTTTGTGAACTTCATAGCCCTCCACAGGGCCTACTAAGCAGTGGAAACGTCACTGTGATTTTTTTTGTGCGTGTAAGTCCAAAACTTACACAAAACTTATGAAGTTGTATTATATGAAATCATATGATAGCTATACAGTAAACTATTAATTAGAAACCTTCCTTGGATTGTGAAAATTGCAGATCTCAACAAATCAGAGAATGTACTTTTGAAAAATACTGGTCTGTGAATTGAAATTAGGCATTCAATTCTGAATGAATTTTGTGTTGGTACATGCCCCCTTTTTGCACATATTCTAATTTATTTCAGTAAGCAAAACAGATTTTATACAATTCTCATGAAAGACCAAGGGTGCTAAAGAGCAAAGTTATTAAGTGAAACAGCTATGAAAAAGAGGTAAAAGTTAGAGTTCCTGAAATTATACCAATGTGAAATGGCTGACAGCTCCCAGTGAGACACTGATTTATATGAATTCTAGTTGGTACCAAAGTGTTCTGTTTTATAGAGCTAATTATTTTATTTTGTTATTTGCCTCAGATGATGCCCCCTCCCCCATAAAAAGCACACTAATGTTTGAAAGGCTACTTCAATAGCTTTCTAAATTGACTGCCTCCTCTACACAATAGCCATGAACTGTGGTAAAATAATCTATTTAATTTACTCATTCATTAGACAAAGACTAACAGTGATTTAGAAGTGAATGAGCTTTTCATACACGAAAGAACCTTATATTCAAAAGAAGACAGACTCTATGTATCCAAAAACTACAATACAAGGCTTAATATACAATGATAAATGCAATAGAAGTAAAGCAAGCTATAGGATTTGAGATGACAGAGATGATTTAAATGGTATCGTAATATTTTAAAGACACCATATTTTCTAAACAATCTTATGCAAATTGGTGTTTCATTACATAAATTATACTATGAGTAAAATAAGACATTATTTTATGATTTCATGCATAAATTGCTATGGATATGAAATGTTGATATTTGACATGTTTGGGGGCATCCTCATTGAATCTTATTTATAAGTAAAGTGGAATGGAGGACCAATGCTAATCTGTTTTTCCACTTGGCAGATTTCATTTAAGAAGTATTATTGTATTATTTAAAGTCGAGATACTATAGAGTGTTGGTAATTTTGCAGTAGTGACATTCTTTCATCCTTTGCTTACGGGGATAGCATATAGGAAGAGCATTTTGAACTTCAATATGCTAAATCATACACGTTTTAATTTTAAAATAACCTGTAGATTTTTCTTTAGAATTTAGAACTGACTGCTTCTTAAGATAACTGGAGAAAACATGAGAGTATTGCAAATCATATTTACAAATCACTGCTTTAGGCAATATTTGTTTTATGTTCATAAACTTCGTAGAAAAAAGAAGTTGGACAGAATTATCTACACACTCCACTTTACAGTTTACTCTTACATGTATATCTCTAGGGCTATAGAAAAATGTAAACCAAAGCAAAAGTTACATAGTGAATAGGGTTATTGTTATTTTTCTGGTGTTAGCCTGGCAAAGGGTATTAAAATATTCTTGTTTGATTAGTATGCTCAACATGTTGAAATAGAAAAACCAGAACTTTGTGTAAAAGTATTTTTAGAAAATTGCCCATAACATTGGAGGAGGGTTGTGATTTAAAAGCGAATGCCTAATATGTTGTTTATAAAAGACAATTTGAACTTTAATATGGATTGCAATAGACTTTAAAATGACTTTGATTTTAAAGTCTGTTATTGATATTTTTAAGGACTGAAAAAGAAAATACATGTTTCATAGAGGATTATGAAAAATACCATCTGTATCATTTCTCGTAAAATGAAATATGCACGCTCTGGTATATTTGGGATTGATATAGCAGTAGTACTTACTGGTTTAAATTCGAAATGAAATGAACAATTTTGTTTTTTTTGACATTATTCAAGTAAATTAATTATAACCTGAAATATAAGATTAAAAAATTGCTGAAATTTAGCATTAGTGATTAAATAGAATATTCATTTTCAAACTAAGATTATTCCTTTTATTCCCTGATCATTTTATTTAGTTCTTTTTTTCATAGTGTCATTTTGAAAAAATATCACTTAGATAACAACAAAACAGGTGACATTTAGGAAGATCCCACACAACCAAGAAAGGAAGGTCAGTGTGCCATATTGGTGTTGTAAGAACACTTTGGGGTAATAATACACTCTCATCTTTGGATTGATAAATATAACTGCATTTTAATATTGCAAATCTTTATGATTCTGAAATGACAGAATAGTATATTTTTTACTATTCTAGCACCTGCATTTCCGAATAATCTTTTAAATTTGAGTTACTCATTAAAATGTCTTGGAGTATATAAATACTACTAATTATTATAAGTGAATGAATTATATTAGCCAGCATTATTTTTGGGTGAGTAGTACCATGTTCTGGAAAGTTTTCCTTGTATTTGATTGTTTTTTTTCCCCCTCTTCTCCAGAACAAAAAGAGAGTAAATGTGATTCATGCCAGAATGGACAAGAAGAACCAATCTCCAAATCCCATCAACTTTCCCTGGGATCATCTCCTAGGTCTAATGGTGTCACTGGGAAACAAAGCATCAGGTCATCTATTTCAGAATACTCCAACAAGCATGATAGTACCCTATCTTCTCATTCTGGAGAGCAATCAGAAGGTGAAGAAAGTCCCAGGTCCTTATCATCCTCTGATCTGGAATCAGGAAATGAAAGTGAATGGGTCAAAGACTTGACTGCGACCAGGGCCAGCCTTCCTACAGTGTCCTCAAGACCAAGAGATCCTCTTGATATCCTTACCAAGATTTTCCCAAATTATAGGCGCAGCCGTCTAGAAGGCATTCTGCAGTTCTGCAAAGGGGATGTGGTCCAAGCCATTGAACAGGTTTTAAATGGCAAAGAACACAAGCCAGAAAACAGGAACCTAGCAAGCTCAGGAGAACTGGAAAACACAGCCTTTCAGAGAGCTTCAAGTTTTAATCTTGCAGGAATTGGCTTTGGAACTCTAGGTAATAAATCAGCTTTCTCTCCTCTTCAAACTACTACTGCATCTTATGGAGGTGACTCAAATATCTACAGCTTAAATCCTAGAGTAGGTATCAGTCCCTTAAGGCTGGCATACTCTTCTGCAGGAAGAGGATTATCTGGTTTTATGTCACCCTACCTAACACCTGGGTTGGTACCCACCCTGCCTTTTCGGCCAGCTTTGGATTATGCCTTTTCAGGGATGATTAGAGATTCTTCCTACCTTTCCAGTAAAGACTCAATAACTTGTGGTAGACTGTATTTCAGACCAAATCAGGACAGTCTGCTGTAATGTATATGCCCATTCCCCCTTTCTGGAGTGTTTCTAGAAGTATGCAATACATGCATGTGCACACACATGCACACATATCCATTAATATACTTCAGTAAGTATGTGAGTAGATTATGAGGTTTTAAAATGCTATTTTTTTCACAAGCAATATAATAGGTCTTAGATCTGAAGACCCTTCATTAAAATTTATCAAGTGAAAGAAGTAAATTTGAACATTATATGTACCTTGAATAAAGCTATTTCAGGAAATATCTACTTTAATGAATTTTGTCCCTAAATTATCATTTGCAAAAATGTTTTATTTTAAAAACTATACTTGTTTTTATTTTATTGAAAAGTGGAATTTTTAGTGATAAAATACATTTGTAAGTATAAAGCAATCCAGCATAATATAAATCAAGGAAGAATTGAACAATTAAGGCCATTTCTAAGTAATTACTACTTCAAAACATTTTATTCTGTCCCTTGTTCATAGGAAAGAAAAAAGTTATTCAAAGTATTTTAAAAATGTTTTATTTGCAGATAAGTGATTCGTAATAAATAAACCATTGGAGCAGTTTGAATTTATATTTTCTGAGTGTTTTATTTTTCAACCTTAGCTTCCATTTGTGAAAACAAGTGTCGTTAAAAACCGTTTCTCTAAGGTTAACACTGGATTACAGACTACAAAATAGATCTTAGGAAATGAGACTTCGCCATCTCCTGGCCACTATCACCAATTGCAACTGAGCTCTGTAGAGTACATGAATTAGAAACATTGTTTCCAAAGAATAAACAGACCGTATTTTCAAATAGTCACTTTGGATTATGCTATGTTAAAATTTTCATACTGTAAAGTGCATATCTGTGAATGAGAGTTGCAAACTGTAAGTGAGCTTATGCTTGTATCTGGGGAAATATCCTTTGCTTATAAGTTTGGGACAAGAATATATGGCAGCCATTCTGAAAGGTAAGAATAATTTTATTCAGAAAACTAAAGTAGCTGCTCAAATAAATATTTACTAACTGGAGATAGTTGATGCTTAATGCACTGAGGAGAGACATAAGATTTCCAAAGGGGAAAAACTGCCATGAAGTTTCAGAGATATTCTTGCAATTTTAAACATACTTTTTGTCCTCCATCTGGCACATTTGAAAACTATTTACTTCAGTCCGTGGAAAGTCCCTGAGGAAACCGCTTACAAAACAATTTCTAGAACATTTTCTTTGTATGTCATCATTTTTTTTTGAAGGACAGTAACTTCATTGTTATTAAAAATAAATGGAAACCCAGTGGTGGTAAAAGATAGTTGATGAATTAGAGATTGTTTAAACAATTTGAGCAGCATGACTCACTAAAGATTTTTAAATTATATGTATATATGTATGTGTGTGTATGTGTGTCTATGCATATATATGTCTACGTACTTATACATTAAAGCCCTACAGGTTATATTATTATGGAGGCTTTTTTCATGAAGCCAGTAAGAATGTATTTCCAAGGAATATTTTGCCAGAAAATATGATATTAAATTACTTCAGAAAATCTGATGCTGATTTAGGATGTAAATGTGTTTAACAGGTTATATATTAATTTCAGTGGAGTGGATTTAAGAAACCAGATCTTGAAAAATGTTGATGTTCTCAATATTCATTTATTGGAAAAAATTTTAGTACAATGTCTAGCAAGTAGTTGAAATTCAATTAATATATACTGAGTAAGAAACTCTTACATGTAATAGATCTCTGTGAGACCCTGATAAAACTGAAGAACTCTACAAAATGGCCTACAGACACACAGTTTTGCATACAGTTTCCCTGGGTTCTTCAATCTCCTAAATGGTATTCAGGTTAGATTCCTTTGTGATTCTTCAGTTGTTTCTACTGCATTAATCCACTTACTGAATGCTATTTTTCTGAAAAGTGCTAAATCCTATAGAGGATACTGAATGTAAAATATTTTGCTTTAAAGGAAGTTACATTATCCAGTAGAGATATGGTTTAAAACAATGATTCTACAGTTACTGCATTATTTGTGTGGTCTTATGATGTGCTTGTATCTGAGAAACTGAATTGCTTTTGAACTTGGAAGAACATCCATTTTGGGCAGTATTCATATTTATAATATAATTTTATAATCATAAAACTTAATTTATATAATGCTTACACATTCCATACCCTTTATAATAATATAAGGACTTAAAATAGGTTATTTGTCTAACAACTTAATAGTATGTGAGGATACTGATGCTCAGCAGTAGAGTCTTTTTCTCCCTAAAGTTAGCAGTATGAGTTATCTGGAGTAGAATTATTGTACTCACTTCAGCAACTTGAGACTCCAAGGTCTGAGGAAGAATTCATATCTGTTTTGTCCATTCACAGCTTTGTACAGTGTCTGATATATCATAGGTGCACAAATACTAGGTTTCCACTGTCTGAAATAAATAAAAGGAAATATTAGCTTGAGAATTTATTCATTCAATACATATTTAATAAGCACCCTATTTCATGCCATGCACTGTGTTAGATACACAATATAAAGAAGTATTTAAGATAAGGCTTTGCCTCAAGTTGTTCGCAGTCTATATTGTCATGTGTACAAAAGCAACCAATCATCCAAAGTCGGTATTATTTGACGATGTTGGTACATCAATGAGTTCTTTGTAATCTTGATACTCATGTCCATGGATGCTTCTTGAAGCCTGAACTCCTAAGCCACTAATTAGTAGTGAGAAGAAAGAGGTGGTAAATGCTTTAAGAGCTAGCATATAACAAAAATGAATTGGGTTTATCTGTATCATTTAGAGGGCTTGGGAGGCAAACATTTCATAGAGTATTCAGAGGAACATAAGGAATGACGTTTTTACAGTTAACAGCTGTCCAAGAGTGTAATGGCTGCCTTATATGATAATGCATCTTGTACTCATTGAAAAATGCATGTAGAAAATACCAATCAGAGACCTGCTTGATGGGATTTTTCATTACTGGTTTAATATTGGGACTGAATCATTTTGTAGCTCATCAGAAATATGGAAAGCATTTTTAAAATAAATAGATAATGAAATTTCAATTCTAAGGCCATGAAAATGAAAACACCCTACCATTATTTGTTAATAAGACACAGTGCAGTTTTGCTGATCAGAATTTTGCCTATGTGATAGCCTACTGAGAGTAGGCAGAAAAAACATAGAACACAGTACATGTCTTACAAGGGATTAAAGCTGACAGAGGTAGTCTAAAGTATATAGGCATGAGTGGGGCTTAAAGAAGACATGGAAGAGCACCAAAGACAAATGTTAGTACATTTTCTATAAGGTAGATACCAGTATGTCTTCCTAGAAGAAGCATTTGTTTTGGAGTTGAGGAAACCTAGAATGGACTTATCGATAAGATTTGGACAGGTTACTTATACTCTCTGGACATTTAGTCTCAGTAAAGCAAGGATAATAATATTTAACTTGCAAGATTCATGGAGATAAAAGCTTAAATAAATCGCAGAGTACAGTAATACTTATATACTGGATGCTAAATAAATAACTCTCACTGTTATTACTTTGTATTGAGATATAATCTTTGCTCCCTGGTGGCAGTCTCTCAACAATGAGTACTGTAATTGCATTTAATACACTTAGTGGATATGGAGCCCAAAGGGCAGCCATCACCAGAGCAGCATACAGGCTTTGTTCCAGACTTCCTGTTTGGATGTTCATTTCATAGGCGAGCCAGACTTTTGTAACTTACTAATGTATGTGTTATTTGGATTACATCTGAAGAAAATAAACTATCTGAAGAAAATAAACAGGGCTATCTGAAGAAAATAAACAGCAAAAATCATAGTTTGTGTTTATGCTACATTTATTAGTCAGGGTTATCAGGAAAACAGAGTTCTTGTAATATGTGGAAATAAAGGAGTTACAGAAATTTAAACTAACATAAACAAAGGAGCTTGAAAATGAACGTCTGGAAGAGGTAAAGTGGCAGATTAGACAAAGATTCACTCATCTGCTTGAAGCACTGGTGTGGGTGGACAAGTGCGAACTGAAAAATCTGTGAAGTTCAGCATGTCCAGTCACTGAAATGGTTCCCAGCCAGGGGTTCTGAAGGGGGCAATGGGAAACCAGTGCTTCTGTGTAGGTTCTAGCTCTGTTGGTCTGTGAGTGAGCATCTGGTGGTGAATCTGTGCTACTGTGGGTCAGTGAGGTCAGCAGGCAGGAAGACAAGCTGGCTGTGGAGTAAGGAAAAGTGAGGACAGCCTGGAAATCACTGGGTATCCAACCTTAATGACTTGTGTTTTACTTCTACCTTAAAAATCTCACCATAATTCCCTTTTTGGGCCAATCTCACTTTGAACAATACAGCAAAGGGAATTCTGAGAAATGTAATTTACAGTCAACCAAGCAGACAGTATAGTCTAGTACAGTATACTCCTCGTCAACACGGGTTTCATAGTCACATATGTTGACCATATTTACTTCCAAATAAGGGCAAAAACGAAGTCATTCTTTTACCTGAAGTTGATACAACTGTCCCGTACAACAAAAACACACTAGCCACTCCCCAAAAGAGAACACACAGAGTGACTTACCTATCTGTGGGTTATGCTAATTTTTCTTTTATTCACTCACTCATTTGAATATCCTATAGCTTTAATCCTGAGATATAGGTAACCACTATTAATACATATTTTGTTAGAATAAGGAATTGGGGACATGGAAAACATACACACACACAAATACACTTACTTTGAAACAATAAATACACAAATATTTTTGCCTGCCAGAGCCCTCATGTTCAGTCATGGGATCATAAGAGGTCATAAGATCACAGATGGTATTTATAACTTCCTTCTTCTATGCAATTCATATTTTGCTCCCTGAAAATGTCTCCCTGAAAGTGTCTCAGTTAATTGTGCTCAATTCTGCTCCCTGAAAGTGTCTCAGTTAATTGTGCTCAATTCTGCTCCCTGAAAGTGTCTCAGTTAATTGTGATTCCTTACTTGGTAGAGTGACCCAAATCCTGGTTCCTGATGCATCTATATTATTATAGTCCTACCTCTCTTAGGTTGTTGTAGCTCTTAATCTTTTACCACAAAATATTGAAAGACTAAGGGATATTCTAGAGGATCTTCTGAATACTGGAAATTCTACCCCTGCCTCTTTCCTGTTATTTCAGTGTCTGAGGTGCCCCAAATAGTCAATGGTAGTCACAGATTCCAGTACAATGTTGTATTCATCATGAATTTCTCCTTTGGGAAGTAAGATCTCTGAATCTGAGGTCAAAATTTATACAGACTGGGAACAAAAATATTACCAGTGGATCCTTAGAATTAATGTGAAAGGAGTCATTCTCATATCTACCCTGTGATTCCCAGACTCATGAATCCTGAGCATAGGAGAAACATCGCTACATATTTATAGCTGAGTCAAAGCATTATCTTACATCTAGGAAGACATTATTGCAGCGCCATAAAGTGCTTTCACCAGCTGATGCCATAACTGAGTCTTCCAAAGACCATTCCATAATTATATTAGACCAGCTGTTTCGGGATGAAGGGAACATGAGGATACCAGTAAATTCCATGAGCATGAGCCCAACATGGCACTTCATTGCTATGTAATGAGTTTCTTTGTCAGAAGTAATGTCACATGGAATACTATAAAGGTGAATAAGGCATGGTGTAAGCCCACAGCTGGTACTTTTAGCAAGAACATTAGGACTGGGAAAGGCAAAACCATATCTAGCCTACGTGTTTTTTCCCAGAGAAAACAAAGAGGTGCTCCTTCAATGATGGAAGTGATCCAATGTAATCAACTTGCCCCCAGGTGGCTGGCTGGTTCCTCCAGGGAATGGTGCCATTTCAGACACTCAGTGTAGATCTTTGCTCTTGGCAGTTTGGGTAGTCAGCAGTGGCTCTATCCAAATTGGCCTTAATGAAAGGAAGTCCATGTTGCTGAGCCCATGCACTAGCTCCATCTCTGCTTCCATGATCATTCTCTTCGTGAGCCAACTGGTCAATTTTCATAATAAAAGAATGGATAATCTTGTGCATAAGATTTTTAAAATACTCCTCTTGGGAAGTTGCTCTTTGGTGAGCATTTATGTAGGACAAAAATATCTTCATATTTTATGCCCATTTGGAGAAGTCTTTCTGGATGCTTTTTCTCTAGACCTTGTTACTGATTTTCCAATCTTAATTCTTCTAACTTGCTTACCATCCAGCCAAACTGTTAATCAGTGCTCATGACTCATTCTAGATATGTACCTCTATCCGTATCGCCTGCCAGGCAACATGAACAATCAGGTGTATAGCTTGAAGTTTTTCCCACTGGAAACGTTTTCTTCACTACTCTACTTCAAGTCCACACCTGTAGTGCCTCAGCTGTCTACTTGAGACAGTGCCAGAATAGTGAGCAGAACCATCTGTGGACAAGGATAAAATTGTTCTTCCTCATTCTATCATAATAGACAACTCCACATGAGTGAGAGGAGGCTGTGTGGCAGGAATAGAAGCCCTGGGAATTTAAGCCACTTTCCATGCAACTGATTTGTGACTTCAAAATCTTTGGAAGAAAATTCATCCATTGTTTCCACTTGATGGAGTATCGCTACATAAGACTTGGTGAGTCAGATAACACCTTGTTAATATGAATATTTATAGTCATCTGATTATTTGATGGCCAATACTAAGTGTCAGGACTCTGATGAGAACCCACAACAAGGAAGGAAGCTGTCCCTCAAAAGAAGAATAATTTCCTGTCGGGAAAACAAAACTTTTCTCCAACTCTCAGAGGGGTATACTGTGAATGACTTATAAAGATCTGTCACAGGTTTCCCTTAGGATCTCTAACTGCCGTAGACGCTGCAAACCCTATTGATCTGCTGGATTATATGGCCCAAGGGGCAGGGAAAGTTGAATGGCAGTCTGCTTTCATTGCAGAAGCACCCTGTAGTCTGGGCCTGACTCAAAACTGGTAGCTTATTCGATTATTTGGTAAATGGTTTGAAGATGCCCACACCAGGTATCTGTTGCAACCAAAATACAGAGCTCCACCTCTTAAAGGTAGCAGATGTAAGATACAGAAACATGCTTTTCATCTGGTAAGAGATGTTTCAATATGTGCCAGCCCAATACCACAGATACTACATGCTTATGAATGTTTATAGGATTTACTCTTCCAGCTTCTGGCATGCATATGTCTGGACAAGATATCTAGAATATTTTCTACCTTCGGCTTACTGGGTTCAATCAGAATGATATCTGTGTAGTAGACTTGCTTGATGTCTCATAGAGAGGAGAAGCAAACAGTTCCTGGTGGACTACCTCGTGGCAGAGGGTGGGAGAGTTCATATAGTCTTAAGGAATGTTATGAAGGGGTGTTACTGCTTCTGGTGGTTCTTACAAGTATAGAGAAAAAGTATGACATCAGTAGCCTAAAGCTACACAAAATAGAGGCTGCGTTGATTTGTTCCAATAAAGCAACTAGATCTGGAAATACAGCTGCAGTTAAAATTATTACTTAAGTTTATGTCATTCTACAAGATCCAACTGCCTTCTCCATGGCCCAAATACGTGATTTGAATGGGAATGTGTTAGGACCCCTTCCATCCTTGACTGTGGCACATCCTTTGATAGTCCCTCTAGGAATGTGCTATTCCTTTTGTTTCACTCCTTTGGGAGGGAGAGAAGTTCTCAAGACTCTATTTGATATTTCCAATTGTAATGTACTCAATCTGCAGGTCAGAGACCCATTCTGCCAGCTTTGAATATGTATCTTCCGAAGATTCCAGAAATGAGGAAATAAATGTAGGATTGTTTGGGGAACCCATTAGACTCACTGTGAGATGACTTGAACCAAAATGTCATTGATTATTAGACCTTACTCTTCTAAGACTGGGCGCGGTGGCTCAAGCCTGTAATCCCAGCACTTCGGGAAGCTGTGGCGGGTGGATCACGAGGTCGAGAGATCAAGACCATCCTGGTCAACATGGTGAAACCATCTTAACTAAAAAAAAAAAATACAAAAGATTAGCTGGGCATGGTGGCGCGTGCCTGTAATCCCAGCTACTCAG